GGGGGGAGGGGAAGTGGGGACGTGGACAACTGTGGAGAACTAGCCTTTAGCCATTAAATTTGTTCGTATCAAATCTTGTGGCGTTAAAAATGCATCCTTGTACATTAAGTCAGCACTGTTCATTTCTAGGAATGGCTCAGATTGCACAAGTACTACAAAGGAAACAGCAGTGAAAGCAAACACCAGATGCATTTTAGCTTTTTTTTTTTTAAACCAATCCTTTCCCTTTTAAGGAAGGGAAATGGGAATTTCAGTCCAAAGCAAAATACTTATTTTACCTTTCTCTAGACTTTTGCACTTATATCTCCACTTTACTGCAGTTTTCTGGATCAAGAGCTAAGCTGAAAACTGTGGGGTTGGCTGTGATTCCCTAATGGCTGTTTCGTAACAAAAGACTCAACACTTTTGTTACAAACTGCTTCCAAATAACATTAAAAGCCACCCTTGGAATTTAAAGTGACTATATGTATCCATCCCAGCAAAGAGACAAGAGGTTACAGTGGATTAATGACGTTTTACAAACCATCAGTCAGCAGAATTTATTAACATTGTTAAAGGAATGTATCCAAATAACAGTTAATCTCAATTACAACAACTGTCTCAGGGAAAATAAACTAGTATATTCAGTCCCACTTAATGCACATAAATTACAATTTAAAATGTGCATGTCCTGGAGCAGGGCTGACTATTAATTGGAGGGTCTTTGGAGTTTCAGATCCCACTGCAAAGTCAATACCATGGCAGCATATACTGATGTGGGTCTTGGCTATTCAAGACCTGACACCAATTACACAAGTTCAATTACTGAAGTTAAATCAGCATGGCAATTCTCACATATTGGGCACACTAATGCAAGTTCTAAGCATCTGGTGGTGCTCATGGTTTACAGCAAAAGCTGCAGCTGCAAACCCCACCCCAGGCCACGCAGCTTCTCCAGGGCCCAAGAAGGGGACTCAGCCCTCAACTCCCTCTTCCTTCTCCCAGGGCCAAATTTTTCCAATCCTGATAATTAGCATTTTGCTAGGGTGCTGTAGCACAGATGGGCACATGCCTGTCACAAACACTCCAGAAACAAATTTGGAATTTTTTTTGCCCTGCTGTGCTTTGCACTGCCAGGTTAAGGCTTAGTTTACTACAGCAGGGCATATGAAACGTAATCCCAAGACTTCCACTACAGCAGGAGACTGCCCCAAAAGGAAGACAGCACACCCAGAAACAACCCCAACAACCTCCTGTTCTAGCAGAACCACCACAACAGACCTACAGAGATAAATACATTCACTTCTCTTCTCAACAGAGAAGCAGTTAGCCAGCCTGCACTTGAGAGATGTTTCAAATATGCTAATGCAGGAAAAATATTTTTTATTTCTGCTAGCCTCCCTTCCTGCTGACAAAGTAACAAGGTCTTTACAACTATTCCCCCTACCCTACCTAAAAAATTCCAGTCCAGGAAATCAAGATGGACATGGAAGTATCAATACTGAAGTGTGATTTTATTTAATAATGCCTTTATTTTGTAAAGTGCACCATAATTATTGGTGGGGCTGGAAGCTTTTTCTTTAATTACTACATTAGGACCAAGTTCAGAGAATTTCAGCCGATTGCTGTAATTACATTACAGATACTCTAAAAAACTGTACGCAACTGTTTGATACATTTAGATTGCTATGATCCAAAGAACAAAATCAAGCTAAACCCTGAACACTGGATGATAGAGTATTTGGCACAAAAGTTTATGAACAAGCTGTAAACCTGTTGTTTATATGTACTGTGGCTTCTACAAGCTGTTCACCCACCAGTATCCCCTGCTTACCCTTCAGCATTTTAGCCCTAGTTAAATGCACAAGCCCAAAAGATAGAATATAACTGCTAGACAGGCAGAATTTTCTCTGGGAAACTTTCCTGTACGATGCTGTTAGTTTATTTCCACTGGCCCATAAACAACAAAGAAATAAAGAAAGATGCCAGAAGTGACAGGCCGGAACTCTTATTAGCACAGACCTTTAAAAACGAGAATCTCTTGATGCTGTTTGTTTAATGTTGGAAATGGTCCATGATTAACAGCAACTGAGAATAAAATGCCTTCCCCTTTGCACAACAGAAAGGCAAACAGCAACTTCAGGAATAATTGAAGTTGTCCCTCAAATGTGGTGACCCTCAAACGCTATCACAAGTTAGTATCAATAGATCACAATAAACAATTAAAAAAAAAAAAGACAGACATCATCAGCATGCTTTTGGAAAAAACCCATGCCTCTCAAGCAATGTTCAGACTAAGTAGTCAGGTTGTGGCCCACAATATTTCAGAGATGAGCAGAAGGTGGATTAGATGTACGTGGCTGCAGGGCCATTCTAATAAGCACACAAACTGCTCAAGAGAGACTTTCCCTTTTACTTGTGGTTTCTACAGTCACTATAAAGTTTGCATAGAGAAGATGACCAATCCCCCAGTGAAGTAACAGCTATTATTTTCCAAGAGGAATGTGTTCTGACAAAGGAATGCTCCTTCAGCCTCTGAAAAACCGAAAGACTGTCTCTGCTGTCTTGTGACAGCATAGTCTTCATTATGCCCTTGCCCTCTGGGAGGGAGTTTGAAGGTGGTGAGGTGGAGTGGGGGGAAAAGGAAGGGGGCTGTTTTGAAGAAAAGTGTAGTTATAGTAAACTGCAACAAAGCCTTTTAGATTAAAAAAAAAGTGCCCAGATACAAAAAATTGGGAAAAGGGAACTGTGGAATACTGAAGTGTTATTAAAGATTCTGCATTCTTTATCTAAATAGTTCACACTTCAAGAGGTAATCTTATGAATTTACTCTAGCATTGAATTTCTTTGTAACAAAAGCAGAAGACACATGAACATTTATATGTACACCTGTCCTTCCATGCAAGCTGGCAGACAAGGACAAGGGAAGTTGAAATGATACTGACACCTGCCTTTCCACGGCCTTTAGCAAGTGCTCTGCAGAACAGCAGCACCAGAGGCGACAGCACAAAAGGTTTCAGGTAGTTTAAAATACATAGTCCTTTTGCTGAAGGAGAAATAAAACACTTGTTTTATTCTCAGAACACAGCATTTAGTGTTTTGAATTGAGGTTTTAGTAGTGTCAGATTAGAAAGCAGACTACACTAAGTTAAGGTTAAAAAAAGTAAATCTACAAGAGTGCCATAAAATTTCTAGTTACTATTGGAGAAGGGGTTTATTTTAATGTAAATTCACTTTTCTTTAAACCCTGGTAGAGACAGTCTCCTTGAAATGTTAAATGCAAACTGTACGAAGAGGGGAAAAGTGAGACATAAGAAACAAGTAAGTAATTTTAACAACCACATGTTGTTTGTGGCTCATGATTGCTAATAGATACATGCTACCATTAATGTTTAAATTCAGGGTGTGCGTAGTTGTTTGGTTTTTTTTTTCCCCAAGAGCTTCAGCTACTTCAATTGCTTTGCCATTTTGCTGCTTTCACTTTCAAGGAGGTCCTGCAGCATTAGCAATGAGGTTATAGCACGCGAGTTGCTGTAGTCAATCAGGAAGAAATTCATATTCCCTTTCTCCTGAGCAGTTAGAAAAATGGTAAAAACTTACAGCTCATTACTTGCCTCTCAAGCTGTATAGGGTAAAGGTGCACTTATTAAACAAAGGCAATTTATATAACCAGGGAGGTATGGTATAATCAGACAGTCATTTGGGTACAAAAGCTTTAAATAACTGTTAATCTGTGTTTTCATATGGATTTTTAAACCTTTGAACATGAGACTGAATTGCTGTGCGTCAAGTTGCAAGGCACATATTTAGGCCAAATTATTATATAATTCATGTGCACGCATATCTAAATGTAGGCAGAATATCAATTAATATAGTAGCAATCAGAGTCAAGCAATCATGGTGTTTTCTTATTTGCACAGCATAGCAAGTTCTAGTTATTTTTTATAATTTTTAAATGGGGATGAACAGTATTTGCATGTCTGTTAAGCTGGAAACTGAGACACTGGGCCAAGTCAAAATTCAGAAAGTCAATCAAGCTACTGAAAAGTGTATGACAAGTATTCTTCCACTTTAGAATACTAAGCTTCAGTCTTACTTTTGCACAAAGATGCTCCAAGCAACTAAAGCTGGCTTTTTAGGCTTGTACACTGTCACATTGAAGAATGAAGAAATTGAAGTATTTCTTCTAGGAGGTCTATTGGCTGATGTGATTAATCGAAACTTGCCATTTTCAATCATGTGTAAATCTGATATGACAATACACAAAAAACCCAAGGTAGCTCAAAGGCTTGTTCAGCTATCCAGACATAAGATTTTGTGTAGTGCATAAAGGTAGGTCTCCAGTAGGTCTGGACTACAAGTTTTCCACAAAAACACAGTCCTTATTGTACTTTGTCAAATTGCTCTTCACTTAATTTCAATATTTCTATCTGCATTCAGATAAAAACACCTAGCTTAATTTATCAGAGACACAGGAGAAAGTGTGAACAGGCACTAATGAAGGCCTAAACAGAGCCAGTCTCTTCCCTCACTGAGGCATGTAGCCCCCTTGTCTCACAGTCTGCGGGAGGTAACTTTTTGGCATTTCATCAACTGACGGTGGATTTCCTTCCACTGTTTCAGGTCTCACAGTTTGTCCTTCAATACTTGTCTGTAAAATATCTGGCAGAGCAGCTTCCTGGGTATTTTTTTCCAGCCCAAGGCCCAACGGCTGCGAAGCATGACCTGAGATCTGCAGTTGTGCAAATCCCACAAGATCCCCCTCATTAGTTGGAGCGATTTGCCTTGTTCTTTCAAAGCATGGCCTGTCTGTGTTGGTTTCATCCTGACCACCATTTTGTTTGAAATATTGCTGCCTCTGGGTTGTGCTGTCACCACCTCCAGCGTGATCCTCTGATCTCTCTTCTGAATCTAGGAGTGGCTGAGTTGACTCAGACCTTGAAAAGACTTGTACAGGAGTTTGGTCTCTGTAGCCATTAAGCACTACAGTTGAATATTGTACAGTGCTTGAAGTGTTTTGTGTAGTTTCACCTTCGTCGCTGTCAGAGACGCTTTGCCTAGGAGAAGACATGCACGAGGATCCTCCAATACCACTGCTGTGCCCTTCTGAAGTACTTTTTTCCTTTTTAAGCAAGTCAAAGGGTTTTAGATCTTGTTCTGAAAAAGACTTCTTGTCATCAGCTTCTATTTCTACGACGCTTACATCTGTAAAGCTGCCTTCTGGGTACATCTGATCTTTGGAACTAAAGTTATGCTGAAAGAAAGAGATGGATGATGCCTAAGAAGAAGGTTAAAAATCAAACCCCTCATTAAACATCTGAATTTTTATTCTGTAATTGTTTCAAGTTTCTTCGTGTAAGTTTTCTTTTTACTAAGTTCAGCAATATCTCCAAAGTATCTGTTACAAAACGAAGGATATAGCTTTGCTTCCAAGAAAAAGTCTTAGTTATGCAGCCATTCTAAAACTACAGTGGATGTACAAGCTTTGCTCTCATTTTAATTATTCTTAAGTGCCATAAACACACAACCACTTGCTGTGCAGCACAGGAACGCTCCATACTAAGACCATACACACATTACTTTCAATAATGTGTTCAACATCACAGCACTTCTTCAGACAAGTTAGCTACAGTTTATTGAACAGAATTTGCTGTGTCATTCACCCGACATGGGGAATAAGTTTTGCTGCCATCTCCTCATCCATGAGGAACTCAGATTTTTCTCTCATTCAGGACTTAACTGGGCAAACAAGTCATTTCAAAGTTTTAAGAATGGGAATAATGGATTCTGTTTAGTTAATCCTGATTTCCCGTGAATGAGTAAAATAATTAGGACTTAACCCTTTCAATTAGTAAACAAAATATAATTCACAATGTCAAACCCTGCTCCTTGCTGTGAACTTGAGCTAAGGGCCGTGTATTTCTCATGCTGAATCTACTGACGCATTAAAGTCTTCTAACCAAATGGTAACACAGTGTCTTGAAACTTAACATCCATGTTTTTCTCCTTAAACCCTGTGTGGGCTATAAGACAGAAGACTCCCACTGGCTAGTTTATTTGAAACCTTGTGGACTAGGAAGATACAGGATGTGAAAAGAATTACCTTAGCTGGAACTTGAGGAGACCACTGAGCAATGTTACTCTTGGATGGGTCAGGGACAATAGGCCAGATATGCTTTTTAATTCTGTGAAGAATTAGAAACAGAACAAAGTTACAAGATGCACTCCCCAATTTCCTATGTTGATAGCAAGTACTGCATAACCCACGATACCACTCCCATACATAGCAATTTTGCAGGAGTATTTATTTCCAAATAGGAATGCTTCCTGCACTTCTCTACATCTTTGTAGGAAGCTGTACTTATCAAAACACATCACTGCACTTGCAACTCCTCCACACATTAGGTGCAGCTACCCAACATAAGGCAAAAAAACAAATGCTACCGGTTGGTGAGGGATTTTCACATTTGCAGCACTCTAGAACCTACAAAGCAATTATTTAGGCAAGTATATGATGCATGTCAGTATAGAAATACACTTTTGCTTCTTTAAGACAACTACAAATATCACAGTTGTCAAAATCTAAGCCAATTTCACAGGTAACAATAAAGTGAAAATATCTGAAGAAAGACTTGCTGTAAAGCTTAATGTTTGCTAACACTGTCGTTAAATAGCTCAAACACAGCCAGCAAACAGATCTTCTGTGCTTCACAATCTAGAGACCATCATTCTACTCTCATATGCTAGCAAGAAAGACAGGAATTTCCTTGCAGAATTGAGTCATGGAACATTTAGTTTGTGTGCTAGTGGTTAACAGTAAGAAATGAGTATCAGAAGAGACTCTTATTTCTCTAGGAAAACACAAAAAATGTTTACAACTCATCAACGTACATGTGTTTTTAACCTTCTTTTTCTGACCAAACTACAGAGTATTTACTTGTTTGTACTGAATTATTTCCATGTCTCTTTTATTCCCAGACATACCAGAAGTGCAAAAGAAAGACTTTATTTATACTTACAAGTCACGTTTGTTGAAGCAAAACAAAACTCCAAGGAGCACAATCAACAAGAATGCTAGACACACAGGTACAACTATGGCTTCAATTTCTCCTTTCCCTGAAAAAAATGAAGAGAAGCAGTTATACCCCACTTTGGCATTTAAGAATCTCAGCAGTAGCTTACACTGCCAAGGGGACAGAGAGAATCTGAAACTGAATACATCCGCAGTGCTCAGTCTTAAGCTTCACCTTTGGAAGAACCTCTTCACCATATGAAAAGAGTCTGTTGGTGAAAAAATGAAAAGCTCTGTCCCAGCAATCTAATGCCTTGCATCAACAAAAACCACAAGTTGTTCTAGAAGTTTGTAATACCAACGGAGCAAGTAGTTCTACAGTTTGCGCAGACATGACAGGAACATCTATGTGAATTCACCCATGGTCCAGGTGTTTCAGTGGCCTACTGGTTGCCATACAATAGGATGGTCAAATAAGTAATATAAGTAAAGTCACTAGTCATCCATCAGTTTATTCTGTGCATGGAAACATCCTCTGCCTGCATACACTTAAGGTTGCATTTCTGTTATGCATTACTTCCAATGTTATACACATTCTTAAGTAAACCTTATAGAAAGTTTAGGTAAGAACAGCACTATACAGAAGAAAAAAAAATAAAATCCTGTTTAATCTAAAGAAGTGCCTTCCACAACTCTTGCTCTTGCTCTTACCATTACAAATAGTAAGCACTCTCTAAAGTTGAACATACAATAAATTTAGCTGTTCAAAATGAGTCTGTAGAGAACTGGAGCAAACATTAATAGTGATGTAAATGAGAATGTAGAACCTGAGGAAGGGTTGCAAGAATGGCATGTGCTGGCTGGCACCTACATGAGCAGATCAAGATCCCAGGGCACCTCTGCAGCTCCTCAGGACACCTGTACGAGCATAATAAAAGGCCAACCGAACTTCAGATTAAAAGGAAGACTCTGGACACCTTAAGACCAGGGTAAGAGCCATCAGACAAAAAGATAAGAGCACTGAGTAATTCTTAATGACTCACACCAATTTGGGGCAAAAGAATACTATAACCTACAGTATACACAAAACACATCCAAAACCAGCATGTTTGCCAACATAACAGAGCATCCAGGAGACCTGCAGAGGATAGCTTGTTCTCTGTACAATCAGAGAAATCCTGCCTAAACTACTGCTTTCTGATTGACTACTAGATAAGATACCTGGATATCACACGTTTTAAGTATGACTGCGACTGAAAGTTTTTTTTTTCTTTTAAATAGAATAACTTTCCCCTCCTATTAGATCTTGCACAGAGCCTTGCTATACTGCTGCAACATTACTGCCTACTTGTACTCACTGTGCCAGTCTTCCTTACCAAATTTTTGTGTAGTAAACGTAAAATCAGGACCACTCCTGCCTCCTTCATCTGTGTAAGCCATCATCCGCACAGTATACAGTGTGTCACTGGTTAGAGAAGAAAGGGTATACTCTGTCTTGGAAGGATCCACCGTCACAGCTAAAGAGAAGAAAAAAATTATGCTAGTTTTCTGTAAAAGTTATTAGATCTCCACAAACACCATAGCATTAGGACATCATGTGTTCAGCTGTACAAGATAGTTTTAGTAGAATGTATGGCTGCATGGAAAATAAAACTAAACTACTAGTAAAGTTGGGGCTTTAAGATTTCTAATAAGGAGGATACATGGCTAACTAGAAACAGGTAATTACTAAAAAGAAAAAACACAGTTAACAAGAAATAACAAAAAGTAGGGTAGGCATAAGTAATTGGCCCTTTATTGGAATCAAGCAAATCTAAGAAAGTAAAACTTCTGAATAGTGCTAGCTCCCTGCCTTGTTCCTGCAGGTGATACACAATACTGAGAACTAAAATGCACTTCCAGCAAGATGTTTTACATCAGTAATACACTGGTGCAGAGATCAAGAATGATTAAAAATCCCTTCTTTTTTATCTCAGCCTGTATTTAGATAGCAAGACAGGAGCACAATACCCACCAATCAGCTTTCAGAAACTAAACTCAGTACCCTGTTATACACAGACTGATGCTCTGGGTCCTTCATCAGGGACTTTTCTGTTCACTATGGAGCAGAACTATGCCTCAGACATCAGCTTTATGTCACCAGAACAGAGTGTCAGCCCTACGCTATGACACGAAGCACTTTCTCTGCTTTTTGTTACCTGTTTCATTTCCATCAACAGTTTTGTAAAATATGGTGTAACTTCTGATAAATCCGTTTTGTTCATCCACTGTGAGATGGTTCCATGTCAAAACAGCTTCCGCTTTTCCTACCTTTTTTGTCTGAATGGTTGGTCCTTTTGAAGGACCTGCAATGGGAGACAAATATTAGTTTCTTTTGGGCACCCTTGTATCCACAGAAGCAGTGTATTAGTGAGCACTGAATTTCCATTCTGCATAAACTTCAACAATAGCTGGACTAAATCATTTGCAAAGCATTATTTTCACATAAAATAGCAACCCCAAAGATGTTTCAAAACCTCCAGGGGAAAAAAAATGTATGAAAAACAGTAATCAGCAGATCACAGGAAATCTGCAACTGAAGTTAATTAGTTTTGGCTTCATATTTGAGATTTAAAATAAATCAGCATAGAAATTTTATTAAACCAATAATAAAACAAACTTGTGCCTAATTATCCAATATAGGTTTGAAAAAAGGGAAAGGGTCAGCCACAGAGATCTGTTTAACTCCTAAATACTGTAAATAAGCAGAATGGATGGTAATAGAAGGGACAAGATCAATTATGTCAGATGACAGATTAGGTCCTCAAATGTAGGACCATTTTTCATTATGTAGTCTACAGTAAAGCAAAGGTCTCATTATTTTTAGTCAAGAAAGTCAGTTTATGTGATTATTTTATACTTACGATCCTGCTGAAGATAAGCCTTCACAGACTGCCCACTCCCTTGACCATCAGCATATAGAGGGTACACAGTTATCAAGTAACACTTGAATGGCTTTATATCACCTAATAAAAAGAATTTAAAATGTGCTTTGTCACAGACAGTCAAATTCCTTGCCATCCTTCTCATTTACTTCAGATACAAGGCTCTGGGTTTCGGCTGTTTTATTAGATGCAACTGACTATTTTTTTGCTGGATGTCATTCATATACTCATCAAAAATATCAACTAAAGGAACAATATAATGGTTCACATTCAAATGTGAAGTTTAATAAACAGACTTCACAGAAGTCCGTTTTTTTCTCATTTAGTTTAAATAAAAAGCCTTTACCTGTCTGCGGCACTGAATCCCGAAAATATTGATTTGAGCTACTGATCATAATTTGAAAGAAACTGTAAAGCTGATCAAGCTTTATTATTTGAACTGAAAGAGGGATCACAGAATTTGATTTTGAAGGAACTCAGCTTTTTCACTGAATTAATGGTTTCCAAACAAAATGCAGATAAAATCCTTGCTGTTACATAATATAAATTTCAAAATGCAAGATTAGGCACAGTTTTGTATTTGACAAAAATACAGAGATACTTCCACTTTCATGATAAACTAAGAGAAGCCCTCAATATTATCCCAGATTCCTGTCATATAATAAAATTCTAGTCAGCAAAAGGATGGTCCTTACTATGAGAATATTTCTTAGGTTTTTAGGGTGCTCTACAAAGTATTTACAGACTTATGAGCTAAATACCTTTTAAGTATGTTCCTTGAACATTTCCTGGTTCGTTCTGCCATTCTATGATGCAGTCTGAGCTGTTGGACACCAGACACCATTCGATCACGTATTTAAGAACGTAACTGTTAGGAGCAGTCCACCCTACCCACAACTTGCCATCTTTGGGTAGTGTTCTAACATTCTTCACAGGAGCTGTGATAAAAGAAAACAGAAAAGTGATAATATTGACAGTTCTTCCGCTAGATATTAATAATAATAGCTACTGTCAAATGTGGACAACTTTTTGGGTTATTGTAATGTTGACAACTTCACAGGACCTAACGTAAAAGCCATTTTCTGAAATTTGGAAGCTTGCATCTGAATTCTTGTAGCAGAAGTCCCAAATAAGTACCATTAGGCTATTTAAAAACTAGAGATTAGACTCAGCTTCTCTGTTCTCAAACACAGTAAGTTGCCTTACTGCACAGTAAGGAGACCACAGAATCACAGAATGGTTTGGACTGGAAAGGACCTTAAAGATCATCGAGCTCCACCCCCCCTGCCATGGGTACCTCCCACTAGAGCAGGTTATTCAAAGCCTAAAAAGCTCAAAGATACTATGTTTCTTCCAAAGGAAAGTGTCTATTTCAGAGAGGTCAAACCTTGAGACACTTCTAGATTCCCATTATAATCCTCACAGTCATGTACCTTACCACGCACTCCAGATGGAATGCTACTCTGTTTGAAACGTAACCTTAATTAGTTTATCTAATAGTTTTAGAACCTGTGGCTCTCCCTTAGTGTTTACACTGAAAGGCGCATCTGTCCGTATACTTATTATTTGCTTCCCGTCCTGGTAGTTGTTTGGATTGTCTAAGAGGAGGGTGGAAGTAAAGAGAAACCAGCCTGTATTTACTACTACTGCACAATGCAAGGGACATGAACAGTAGGGAAGCAGTGGAAGCAGATGACAAAGCAACCAGGGAAGATACTGAAAGTGTGGGAAAGCCAGACTAGAACAACAGAAGAAAGGGGTCAGGGGGAGGATCAGAAAGCAGAAGGAAGAACAATGGTGAGATGGTATACACATGAAGTAAAGGATACTTGCTTCCCCAACCCTTTGATAATTTAAAAGACAAAAATGCCTGCTACGCTAGAAAAAGAAGCAATAGGGAATACAGCGCACAGTAGCTCCAAGGACCAAAAAGAACAGCAAAATAGCACACATAGCTTCAAATGCACCTGTGAGTACAAAATCCACGTGTTCCCTAGTATATAAAAGGTAGCATCATTTAAAGGCACAAGACTGCAGATACATTCAGAATACTTTAATTGTGTGTCCACATAAATGCTATCATTTTACAACACTGAAGATTTCTTATAACAAAACCATGCAGGTGCAGTTGAAAGACACATTACTAGGACACTAACCTTTTGAATTACTTGCTGGGATAAGTAGAACTGATGGAGGGGATGCCCCAACTCTGTTACGGGCAACCAGAGTCACTTCATAAGTCCCATTTGGCAGCTTTAATGTAAAGTTGGTGGTATTAACATTGTGTTTCACTGGTGGACTGGAGAGAGATGATTTAGCTCTGATAGTTACTTCATACTGCAAGATTATTCCATTGGCTTCAAATGGCTCCAACGCCTGTTAAAAACACATCTTTGATTAAACTGATACTGAAGAAACGTGAAAATTTTTATTGTCTTTGATACATAATTAAAAAATCTGAGCGCAAGACAAGTTACAAGATCAAATAGCTGCATATTTAAGGAAAGTGCAAATAACCTGCATTCATTTCTGTAAAGCAGTAAGTTCAGGAACAATTTCTGGTTTAAATCCTCTCTGTTGTTGGCTTGTACTCCTACCTAGTGGTTGAATAAAACCTATTCCATAGAGACTGCAGAACACATGTTGGTAACTGTTGTTGAACTGGAATGCAAACCAGCCTGAGTAGCTTTTTCTTGCACATGGAAAAATACTTGTTTCTGAATAACAGAAAAAGACTATGTTTCTGTGTAACAGTTTTCAGATAACTTAAACAACTGTTGAAACTGTTGAGTAGCACCAGTTTTCCAATTCTAAGCTAAATAAGGTCAGAAGTGGCATGAGTTATATCAGAAAATGATGCCATATCAATATACATGTAACTTCACACATGCCACTTAGTAATAGGGAGAAAGTAATCATAAAAAAGACACAGAGAACAAATGTGACACAGCTCACATACCAAAAGCAAGCAGGAGATGGGAACTGATGATAATTGCATTCCCCTTCTCAGTTTTGGACTATTTGGCCAACTAGACAGTACAGCCTATCACATGCAAACGTGCAGTGCTGTGTTTAATACATTTGGCCTCTGGAATGTCTCTAGACAATGGATTTTGCAGCTGGAGTATTTCTGTCCAGACAGTGTTAGAAAAGTTTTAGGATACAGCAGAAGGCATAACATGAAGGTTTACTTTGTTCAAGTGAAAGTTTTCAACTCCACAGACAGTTTAAGGACAGCAAGTCAGAAATCTGAAAGTGGATTCTGTATGCTATGGATCAGAGATGTGTGTCAGTTAACAGATGGTGTTTACACCTGTACTTTTAATTTTTCATAACTATTGTAATAAGAATACTAAAGCCAATTATTGTATTGGTAAAACCTGTACTATCCCAGCTACCTATTAAAGTTTGTTGAGGTCAATTTTGCCACTTAAAAACTCATTTTTTAAAGAATGCTCAATTGCTGCAGTTTATCATGTTGCTTTACCTTCCACATCAGACGCACGGTCCAGAAACCTGGTGAGTCAGATGCATCAATGATCCTCCATATGGGTGGTCCTTTAGATGGTTCTGATAAAAGAAACAATGCTTAATAGCAGAAATATATATTTATTTATTAATAAAAGCATATACAAATAGTGCTTCCTTGGTTCCTCAAAGAAAATAATTCTTGGTTTATTAAGTGGAACACCTGCATGTAAAGATTTCCTAAGGGATGAGCAAAACACCAGCTCTGTGTTCTAAGTGTGTAGTATCAAAGCAACAGAGACACCATGCTGAGCACCTGCAACAATGGGCTGGCGATGACAGTGCCGACTGAGGCACGATCAAATCCACGCTGTGCAGCCTGTGCCCAGAGGCACAGCCCTGCATGTCTGTGTACTGCAAGACTTGCTAAGGTCTGTAGCTGCAATCCTATCTCATAATAGCAAATCACCTAAAAAAAGAAAGCGCAGTCAAATTAAGGAAACAAATTTCTCCTGTCAGAATTCCCCACATTTCTTATTTCCTTTATGCTAAAAAGCGTAATAGAACTGTAGTACTTTTGTACAATACTACAATTTTTTCTGGTGTCAGTACTGTAAAAAAAATCAAGGGGTATTTCCACTATGAAATTAATTTCAAAGTAGAATGAATCAATCTATTCCAGTGCATAAAGCAATAAAAATTGGCCAAACCTCTGCAAGGACCTTAGTCCTAATAGATATATAATCTTAAAATATATGTACATTTATAATCTTGCTAGACTCTATCTTCTCTGGGTGTCATTTTAATGACATATTAAATAATGAATTACTATACCTCCAAAAAACAGTATCAAGTCTAGAGTGTGCATCCCTCTTTATATTAGGAGGGACGGACAAGTGGAAATTGGAGCAAACAATATTAACAACCTCATTTGAGTAGGCTGACTTGATTCACATGAAACAGAAACAATTGTATGTTTTGCCTATGTCACAAATGCCTAGATCTTGGCTAGATCATGAATACAACATGGCTCGTCTCGTTAATTTCCTACTATAACACCTTTGTTCTAAGGCAAAACTAAGACATGGGTACTTAATCACTAATAGCAGTATTTTTGCAAAACTAGTCACCACAGCAGAACAGCAATGTAGTCTAAATAGGCAGGCAGTTCTGAAATCCTAATTGCTCAGGCTGACACAGTAACCACAGAAAACAAAACTCGACTGTCATTAGGAGCTGAAAAGAAGTGACTAGACTATTGAAAGAACAGTTTACAATATCTCCCCTAGAGAAAGCAGATTTTGCATAGAGCTGAAGCAATGCCATTATATATACTTAAATTCCATTTTGTTTAAACAAGTGGTATATACTACAATCTTTTTCTTACTTCTCACATATAAGATGATGTGAATTCAATCAGAACTCATTACTGGGAACTCAGGATAAATAAGGAAGCATTTCTGATCCAGTGCATTTCAGCTCCAAGCACAGTTGTGTTTTGGCAATGAAACCTACATTGGTTTAACTCTGTTTTAAAACATGCACTGAAATGATGCACTGAACAGACTGCTTAAGAAGAGGGTGCCTTGGAAGGCACTGAGGAACAGGTAGGATATTACACAAAGGAGACGAGGAAAAGTGCAAGCAGGAAAGGCTACAGCACATTTAAAAAAAAAAAAAACAGGCTAAAAAAAAATATCAGAAGCTAAACAAATATTACAAAGTATTTGTAGTAATTAGAGGGAAGAATACATTCCCTACTGGGTATTAAGCACACAAACTGAAGGTCCATTCGTTGGCTCTATATGGGGTAGGATCAGTATAGACCAGAAACAAAGCCAATCTTACAGGCTATCAAAGTAGAAATGAAACGGAAATGGGATCAAGCTAAAGTAGTTTCACTCCACACAACCCTAGAACTGGAAGAGAAAAGTTTCTAACTGATAATAACCAAGTTCCCGGAAAAACAAGACATAAAATCTCCACATAGTTGGATTCTCTTTAAAGTCAGAAATCAGCAAGCGATTCCCAAATGCTGCTGCTACTGATGATACAGGAGGAAACCAAACAGGCCTTTAAAATCAAATCCTTTTCAGGGTGATTCACTAATTCTAGAATCCCCAGAAATCACAATGCATATTACTGTAACATACATAGCTAAGCAGCAAAGCTGGTCTGCCAGATAGGAAGATCCTTGGCTACAGTCACTATTTGGAGGTTCAAAAAATGCTTCCTGATAAGGATTAGGTAGTAAAACAATTGCCAAAAGATTTCAAATTGCCAGGACACTTACATGACTGTACATTTGTGACTTTGCATTTAAGGATTCCGTTTAAACTTTCACTTTATAGTTACAGTACTTGACACTTTGGAAACATAACACTTGGATAAAACCATATGGAAATACAGAATTTGAGCTTCCTGAATATAGTCATGGTAAATACACCTTTATCTCGGTATCTTGCTACTGAGAAAAACACCGACTCTTTTGAATGCAGAAGGCAAGCAGACATGGGATTTTCTGGGATATGGGTCAAACAGTCTTAGAAAAAGCACAACATCTAAAAGATGGTTTTATAATTTGATTGAGGGCATTAATAATGGTATAAGTAACTTAAGTATCCAGTGTCCGCTTGTTTCATTTAATCTTTCTAATAGGCAACTGTACAGTAAAAAAAATAAATTTTAAAAAATCTATGAACAAGATTTTGGTACAGGTTTTGCCAAGAAGGGCAACCTGAAGTTGAGCTTAATATTTGTTTGAAAAAGGATCAGGGAACTACAGCCCTCATGAGATCCTTTTCAATGGAAGTTATCTCACTACCCTGTAAATGTGCCAGCACATCTAAGTATTTGCAAGAGGTGATGACATCTCTGGTAAGCAAACTCGAAATAGGAAACTTACTGTCAACTCATTGCTACAATACCAAAAAATTCTGATTAGCAAGCTATACAGAAAAAGTGTGACTGTCCTGTTACCATTAAGAAGGGTAGCTACAAGAATTTGTTAAAATGCTGTTCTACCAGCAGAAAAAAGACTCAATTTATATTTGCAGTGAATCACAACTAATGGCACAGATACTCCTCAAAAGCTTACTGCACGCTGGAATTAGTTAATTTTACCTTTAGCAAGAAGACACTAGTGTAGGGTGTTCTGACACCAACAGAGGTTCAGATTCAAGAAGATACCAGATAGCACCCCTCAAGCTTCTATTAAAGACATTAAATTAGTTCCAGTTCAGCCTAAGTGGGCCATTCAGATGAATGACAACAGGAAAACATACCACAGAAAAGTTATTTATCAAAGCCTAGCACCTACTTGGAAAGCAAATTAAATAAATGCACAGGTTGAGGTTGTATTTGTATATACACTGCATGTATTTTTGTTCTGTTAATGAAAAATGTAGGAATCCCTATTTGAGAACAGGATTTTTTCATACCATAACAAATGCAGGGATGTGATTTTAATGTCAGCGTTCCAACAATTACTGCTCAGTTATTGTTTTGCAACTGTTTTGTACGAATCTACAGTTGCTGCAACAATTGCTAAGTCATGGAATGCTACAAAACAAAACAGCCAAAAAAAAAGTAGTACCAGAAAATTCTAAACATACTCAACTAATAGTTTTGGCACAACTCAATGCCAGAAGGCAGTCTCTCTACTTAAGAGCAATCCTGCAGGAAGGTCTCTATAGTGGGGAAATACTGCAATGACTTCCATCAGCTGTGAAACATACTAAATCAACAACACAGTGAGTTTTATTTTAACGTCACAGCACATTTCCAAGCAATGCATGTGTTCATGAGCAACTGGAAGTAATCAATAAAGTTAAAAAACATGCCATGGACTGCAGTGCACACAGATCTTAGAAGACACCAAGTGCAGTGTCTCAGTGCTATCCTGAAGGAATACAAATGAGTTCAGGGTGATGCAGCACACCTGCAGAGCATATAGTTCAGTGGAGAGAGATGACTGGAGCATCACAAGGAGTTGAAAGGCCAGCCAAGTTGATGAAAACAGTGAAGGTTGACACTTGACTGAGGCTCTTAAGCAGTTTTTCTTTTTTCCCCCACGGCTGCAAGCTTGAAGCTTAACCTAGTGGTTTGCTGTGTTTTGTGTATCTTAAGAAGTAATCAGTTTATAGTCTGAAGTTATACATATCCCGCTTGCAAAGTCTTTTTGTGCAAGACTAAACATGATCCAAATTATTTCTCCAAAACCTGCTGCTAAGAAGTTTTCAGCATTATATCATGATACCAGCAATGCAGAGTTCACCCCTACTGCAAAGGGACAGGATATTACAAGCCCAGATCTACAAGATAACAACTGCAAAAATTATGTCATCGAGAAAGGAAACTCTACAGAAAAAGTGATTTTGTCATTCAATATAGCCTAAATAAAACCATTTCCCATTTTCCACACAGATTCAATCTTGCTTAAGTCAGCAGTTTACAGTTGGCATTCTGTTTCTTATGCTTCTCATGGTGACAACCATATCAGTGATGAGCAGCAGGACTCTTGATAGCTGTGTGTACTACAAACAAGTGGCTAAGAGTGCAGAGGCTGCTATAAGTGACTCTGACAAGCAAGACAGTGTTGTAGATTCAGAATACCTTGGGAAAGTTAATAGTAAACCACAGTGTTTAATTTAGATGCTTTGGTGCATGAGATGCTACACTTTCCATATGCATGTTAATTCATATCATTGCTCTACTAGGTTTGTGAGTAAGTCCATGTACCTGTATTGGGTTTACATAGCAAGGTTTTGGTAGCAGGCGGGCTACAGGAGTGGCTTTTGCAAGAAGCTGCCAGAAGCTTCCCTTATGTCTGATAGAGCCAATGCTAGCCAGCTCCAAGACAGACCCACCGCTGGCCAAGGCTGAGCCCATCAGTGATGGTGGTACTGCCTCTGGGATAACATATATAAGAAGGAAAACAAAACCTGTGTGTGAGCAACCAGGAGAGAGAGAAGCTATGAAGAAACCAAGGTCAATGAAGGTGGGTGAGGAGGTGCTCCAGGTGCTGGAGCAGAGATTCCCCTGCAGCCTGCGGTGAAGACCATGGTAAGGCAGGCTGTATCCCTGCAGCCCATGGAAGTTAATGGTGGAGCTGATATCCACCTTTCTTCCCTACCTCCTGCTTTAGCTGTTTTCAGGGAGCACCTCTAGACTAGCTTTATGGGAAGCTATTCTCATGCCCCATGCATGGAATGCATGGGTCAAGTCAGTCATCATTAAAAGTAATTCAGGAGAGCCTTGTTGCACATATAATTGGACAGCTCAAGTGAGCATACACAATTTCAGCTGGCTATTGCCAAATTGCTGAGCAATTTTGAAAGTCAGTGACCTACTTTCATATATTACTTACTATCTTCAGTGGTGACCCCAGTTGTCTCTTCACTCCAGTCACTCCAGTAGCCCACTCCATCTTCCTTCATGCAACGAATTGAAAAGACATACTCTGTGTAGGGTCTGAGCCCTTGAATACTGAATGAAGTTCTTTGTGAAGCTGTATCTTCAGGAGGAACCTGTAGATGGAAGAAATATTTTAGAGGCACTGGTCAAAAATTGTAAAGCTGACTTCTGTGCTACTACAGCTCCTATCCAAGAGGGGTCCCAACTGCATATGCACCCAATAAAAACAACAGTTTTAGTCCCATCTTATTTCCAAAAGCTTCACTTCTTAACCATGATTTGGTAAGGGATCAGTCACAGTCGTGTGTATTTACCAGGTATGATACAATACATATACTAGAATAGGTAAGCAGTTCTCATATTCTGTTTTCTTTTTTAATTAGTTTACGTATAGCTCTCCTTCCTTCCCATATAATTCCTCTACTTACTGATCTGTAATATTCTACCTTACATTTCAGAATTTTGCTAGGTTATCTGCCTGATTATCGACTGCAAGATACCTGTGCTAGAAGCCTCCTACAAAGCTAGAAAATCCAGGATCATTGCTCCCACTGATATAGAATGGTGTTTCTTAACTGACAGTGGAAATAGTTTGTTTTAGAGTACCTTGTACTTTTGCTAATAAATTAGTTTCTTTTCACAAGCTCTTTACTTTATCTTAGATCAGGAACTGAATGCCAGAAAATATTCTTACTGTACATGTGCAGAAACAGATGTGTGATGTAGATTATAATCTATAGATATACAGACACACACTGACTATCACATGTTATTCCACTTGCAATTAAGGGGCTTTTATAATCAGCTACCCTGCAAGACAAATAACCGCAGATTAAACACACATGGAGGACACTCAAGAGGTTAATCCTGAATGCAAAGAATTGTCCAAGTAGTCAAATTTCACCACAGCTAAGCAAACCTAACTGTTTTTAAAGTTACTATTTCAATAGTCTTGTGCTCATGCTAAAAGGACAAAAGTTAAAGGGACTTAAAAGGACAATGTATCAACAGATCCTGGATTTGCAGAATAAGCTGTGTGGGACAGTGCTTTTTAAAATATCAGTACAGGTGACCGTAATAATTAATCTCTGCATCTAAAGCTCAAACAGTTACTCCAAAGGAATACACTATGTTAGCATAACACAAATACTTATGACTATTTGCTTCAAACACCGTATTTCGCTAAGTCAGAAGTGGTGTTCCTTCCAACAAGTCACAAAATTCAGAATACTTTTTGACCTCTGTATTGAAACAAAATACGGGAAGATCTTGATGAAAAGAGTGTTGTTGCTGGGATATTGCTGCTCTGAGAGAAGGCTTAAAGAGAGGCAAAACTGAGAAGCTACTGAAAATGTATCCATAGACTGATGTAGAAGAAAAAACTGCAACTCTTGACGACATGAACATATTACTGCACTGAAGTAAGGCATACTCCTTACTCTTTTCCAGCTCCTTGACTGCATCAGGCTTAAGGCATGTATTCAGGATAACCATACTGTACAGAATTATAGAATCATTTAGGTTAGAAGAGACCTTTAAGATCGAGTCCAACTGTAAACCTAATACTGCCAAGTCCACCACCAAACCATGCCCCTAAGTGTTACATCTACATGCCTTTTAAGTAACTCCAGGGATGGTGACTCATCCACTTCCCTGGCTAGCCTGGTCCAATGCTTGACAACCGTTTCAGTGAAGACATTTTTCCTCATCAAGTGTTACATCTACATGCCTTTTAAGTAACTCCAGGGATGGTGACTCATCCACTTCCCTGGCTAGCCTGGTCCAATGCTTGACAACCGTTTCAGTGAAGACATTTTTCCTCATCTCTAATCTAAACCTCCTCTGGCACAACTTGAGGTCATTTCCCCTTGTCCTATGTCCTGTTACTTGGGAGAAGAGACCAGCCCTCATTTCGCTACAACCTCCTTTCAGGTGGTTGTAGAGAGGGATAAGGTCTCTCCTTGGCCTCCTTTTCTCAAAACTAAACCACCCCAGTTCCCTCAGCCTCTCCTCATAAGACTTGTCCTCTACACCCCTCACCAGTTTTGCTGCCTATCTCTGGACTCGCTCTAGTACCTCAATGTCTTTCTTGTAGTGAGGGGCCCAAACCTGAACACAGTATTAACAGTACAGCCTCACGAGTGCTGAGTACAGGGGGATGATCACTTTAGCTGCCATTTGACAAATGGCTAGGTTACAGCAGAAGAGTGACAGGGACATTAATAACATTACCTGCATCCAGTTCGTGTCACCAATGGTCCTATAGCGAATATTGAATTTCAGCTGCATCACAGCTCCTGAAATCCGATTCTCCCAGGAAAGCTTCAGAACAGTAGGTAGTATTCCTGAGTTGACTGATAAGTTGTGTGGAGGCAGAGGTTTAACTAGAAGAGAAGTAGTTAGAGTCATCTCTACAGCTGTATTTCACCATGCCTCTAGCAGTTGGCACGCTATGCTGTAATGCTACCATTAAAAGCCTTTCACAAGCTCAAATGGCTGCTACTTCACACTGGCTTTAAAGCAGACTACTTAACAAGAACTCACTATCTGAATTGTGATCAAATCTCTCACCTTACCTACCTTTGTCCAGCACAGTTCAAGTTCTAGTCAACAATATTTTGGCCATATTAATTTTTAAAGTGAAAAAACATTAACATACCGATTCCACAATATGCACAGAAGCAGCAGTTATGCATTACTAAAGCTTTAAGAGGCATATAGTTACCAATCTCAATGGGATCAAGAACAAGGTGATCAGATTCAGCCTTCCCAAGAGCATTTGCTGCTTCTACCCAGAGCTCCAGGTTAACAAAGAACTGAACATCATTAATTGTACAAGAATTGTTTACATCTTTTCGTATACAGTCAGGAAATTCATCTTGTGGCCTAAATAAAAGAGAAGGAAAAACATGGTACAAAGCAGTAAGTTTGCTTTCCTTTAGAAAATCTTTTTAAGTAGATCAGAGTGATCAGTTTAGCTTGTCTATTTCCCTTCTGCCATTATCTTTGTAAGCAGACAGGTGGGAAGAAAAGGTGAAGAGATCAGAACCGCTTGTTCAGCCACAAATGCGTGATGACAATAGAACAGAAATGAGAATAAAATCTCTTGACTTCAAGTCACATAACTGCAAAAGCACAAGCCACAGTACTGTAACTATAAAGTTGTATAAAAAACTGACAGCTTAAAAAATAAATATCAAGTACTGATACACTTAATCAAAAGCAATATGGTTAGTAACTAGACACTTATTAATGCATTAAATGATGTAGTGAATATTACCTGTATACCCTTCAACAGTACAGTGTTACAGCTGCAACATATCATTTCTGTTCATCACCTTCTGCTACACTAACAGCAGTTCTAGGGGCATCACAGTTGCAAAGCATTAAGGTTTTCTACCTATCCATATTTTTTACAACACTTGTTACTAAAACACTTCAGCAGAGTGAGGTAGATGGAAAGCTGTAGGCAGTCATCCCTGTCTCGAAAGTAGAGCAACAATTCTGCCCATTTTAAACTACGAGAGACCATTTGAAGAGTTTGTACTTAAGTTAATTTGCTTTCACAGGAGAAATACTTTTGCTGCAGCTTTCACGTTAGGATTAATTGTGGACAAACACCATTCTGAGTTCTTGGGCAGTACAGAGTAGATAACACCTCTACAAAATCCGGTCACTTTATGTTGGTTTCCCTACTTAGAATCATAGAATGGTTTGGGCTGGAAGAAACCTTTAAAGGTCATTTAGCATGACCCTTATGCAACAATCAGGGACATCTTCTACTTGTTTAGTATGGGATAGAACAGCCAACACAGAAAACCTCAAAATAATTTGGGTCTAGTCAGCTAATGATCAGGTGCATTGCACTCAAGCCACACTAATCCATGTATTTGAAGGACGTAAAACATGAGATAGCTGTTACCCCAAAACAAGTGCAACAGCAAAATCTCAAGTCTGACTTAGAATTACTTTAAATGTGAATTTCTTTAACTCTTCCCTTTCCCCCAAAATAAATAGCAATGCTTCAGAAAACTGGATTTAAGTTAAGAACTCTTCCAAAGGATCAAGGAATTTCAAGGGAGTTTGGTTTAGCCTACGAATATTCTTCAAAATTATTTAGATATTCTATAGAGTGCTACTTACCATCTGTTTTTCAACCTAAAGTGAGTGTCTAGGAAAGTATGTCTTCCAGGATTCCAGGTACAAGTCATAGGATATGCGAGTTTTGACTTCTGATGCACAATACAACTTAAGTTCTTGGGCTTCTCTGGAGGCACTGTACAGAAAGAGTTAATAATTAATCTATATATCCATTTCAACCCAGTAAGAATCATGCCAAATGTCCCATCAGCTCAATTTCAGTGAACATCAGAAGTATTTAGTCAGATTGATTACTAACAGAGGGGGCAAGAAGTGCTAGATACCTTCCAGCAATGGAATACAAGAAGCGTAACCAGCTTCTCTGACAAATAGTAGGCTATATAAGGAACGAGCACCTGACAGTAACATAGAAGGTTTTTTATTCTTTGAGGCAGAACACCCGGTATCAACCATCTGTCATCTAAATCCATTTTAATTCACACAGAAAAAATGCTGGACTGGCATGTGCTGATTTTGCCAATAACCTGAGCTCTAAGACAATTGCAATAGGTCTGTTCTCCCCCAACTAAGCTATGGAAGAAGGATGCTTTAGCTCTGAACACCTACAAGAAACATAAGGGATCTTCATCAATGCACTTTAGTAGCACATAACAAACTTTCACGTAGTGCAGCTGAACTATGTTTTTACTTTTTAAATTCAAATCATAGTACACAGAGTTTATTTCTAGCTTTTAGAATATCACTATTTACAAAACTATAATATACTTTAAGAATCTTATTTACTTTCAAGAAGAATGCCGTTTTAAACAGAAATCTCTTATGAAACTTATAGTTCTGTTCCTGAAGAGCTGTATTGTTCTCAAGCCTGTTATTCTCATTCTTTACAGAATTTTTCTTTAATTGACAAAATGAAAATACAGAGGCCTTATATACAAATGCATCTCAAGACTCATACATGAATTTCAAGTGTAGAATGTTATCTGTACTCTAATTCAGTTTACCATCTTAGGATAGAGTATCTGTCCTCACCTTTCCATAGATTTTGCATGTAACATCTTTTCTGGTAAGAAATTTACTCATCAGAAGTTGAAATAGAAAACATTGTTTTTCTGTGAAAGCATTCTGTAACTAGAACCACATTAGTTTAAATTGTGAACGCAAGCCAGCCTTTGGTACAGAGTATGCAACAACTGCAATACCTTTTGCCAACACTAGGAGGCAACATAATTCATCAGCCATTCACACTCCACTATCGAGGGCACTTACAAACCGTCCACCAACTAATTAAGCAGTAGTATATTAAGTTATTCATGTTACTTTCTTGAGACCTCAGTCTTCTCTCAAAGAGCACTTGCTCAAAACTATGCAAGTACTACCATGCTTGAATAAGGGAAGTTTATAATTGTTTTATATATATTAAAATATATAGGTACTTCCTTATGCATGAAGGTAGACTAATCCAAACAGTATGTTCCATCTGTACAGCAGTTCAGGCTAGCTTTAGTGATACAGATGGGCTAAATATTTCTCAGTACATTAATGAAGAAAACATTAATTTCATAGTGTTAATATGAAAGCAGGACATACGAGTTTATTTCATTTCCTTCAACACTGAAACAGAAGCAAAAACGGAAAAGTTAGGGATTTTTTCCAGGACCTATTTCAGTTAAATTCACATCTTTCTGTAATTTAAATCTTCCTGCTTCAAAATTTTTGGTCTGTCTTCCTGTTTCAACAGGGAAATACCCGAGAGTATTTTCTGTTTTTTCAGAAAACTTTATTTTGTGTGTATTTACCAGCTTTGATGGCACGTAATTTGACAATGTTTTTAAATATTTATCTAAGAATCGAGGAAACAGAAATAAGTGTCTGCAAAAGTGAACATTTTCTACTGTTTGCATTCTCTTCTCTATTTCTCAGCAGCAATTTTCTTAAGATCAGAATAAAAGGCAAGAAAAATGGTACTTACAGCCTACTGTAACTGCAATTCCATAAATGTTCTGCTCAATCTGTCCATCTGCTAAAATGTTGCATGTCAGAGGAGTAGCTAGTGAAGAAGTGTCATTAAATGTGACACTGGAAACTGTTCTGTTTATTTCTCGATACTGTTCTTTAGGTACCACTCTATTTTTAATTTTCCAGATAATTTGATTAGCATAGATATTGCCAAAGTCAAGACAACTTTCATTCAAAATACATAATGCTGTGAAATTGGAACCAAGGGCCAATACAGGAGACTCTGGGATGATGTGACCACATGACTGTACAAGTCCACCTGAAACTAAAAAGAAAATTAATTGCATCTTTGTTAAAAACTACAGAGCATTCCATAATCAATATTGCTGATACAACACTAGCGTAGTGTCAAAAATACTACATGTGTCTAAGCAAGAAATGAGTTGACAGGTATACCTAACAGGTATAAAACTGAAGTGTATTAATGGACCACCAAGCATTTTAGGGGGCAAATGAAGCGTAAGGAATTTAAGGGGCAAAATCAGTGTGGTGTTCCCCAGGCTTTGCAAAAGTGTTTTACTGTGCAAAAAAAAAGCTCTGTTAATAAACAGGGGCTATTAGAGAGAGAGGAAAGGACTTAACGTTTACTGTATTTTGAAGGAGGAACGTAATATACTTAAGGTTACTCTTGAAGTTAAAAAGGTTATTTTCTGTTGAGAAAGTTAACAACAACTAATTGTGATAAGCGTACGTCTTTGTTGTGGTGGACTAGTTTTACAAGAATTGCATGCAAACAGTTAAGTACTTGAGTTGTCCATTTCAAAAGCTTCACTGTGGACACAGTAAGGGTATTTGGGAATTAACAGCGAACTCTGCACATCTGATAGTACTCTTTTTACAAAGGAACTTCCAAACAGCACTAAAACTGACAACTGCTACAGAGGCACATGAAGCGTGTCAAGTTTTAAAGGTGAAATAGATGACTGAAATGCTGCCTTGAATCAACAGCCATCTTGAAGATGATAAATTGCTACACAGTAACTCTTAACTTGATCACAGAGCCTACTACACTAGTTCACTGGTAGCTTACTGTTTTAACAGCCTTTACTCTGACCAAGACATGCTTTCATTTAGATACCATTTGGCATACGTGAAATTAAACTTCAGTTTGCTACAGTGACCAGATTCAGTGACATCAGTGGAATCAAAGCATTTGCTATCTCTGTACATAGATGAGCAATGAATAGAAGAAGTGAGCATTGGTTTAACATGCATTATTTACCATAGTATCAAGACGATAAACCAGGTCTCTCTATGTTAATACACCTTGCTTTCTACCCCCACTGCACAAGTATCTAGACAAAAATCAAGTATGTGCTTCAAGCATCTGATTAAAGAAGTTCTACAAATGTCTTGTGTTTGAGACACAAAATCTTACCTTTAAGAGAACAAAAATTCAAGAGCAGATATAAGCCATGGGCCACCCAGTTCCACCCAGAAAACATGCTGCACAGAATCTCTGTAACAGAGAAAGATTATTAGTTAAATTAAACTATTACTCTTCACTTTAGATCACTGACAAATTCAGATTTGTATTTGACCTATGACAATTTCTCAGATATACACATTTACTTTCCTGAAAGAGTTAGCATGTTCTCACTCTAGAGAAAGAATGGGCATATTGTTTCCATTTTGCAGAACAAAATCCAGTATGACAATATGACTAAATCTGAATGTCTACTTAAGACAATTGATGCAGTTTACAGTCTTTTTAGTTACAAATTTAAGAACTCATAGAATGGCTAGAGTTGGAAGGGACCTTAACTCCAACCCTCCTGCCATGGGTAGGGACACCTCCCACTAGACCAGGCTGCTCAAAGCCCCATCCAGCCTGGCCTTGAACACCTCCAGGGATGAGGCATCCACAACACTCATCAGCTTAAGGTGTTTATGTCATATATGCAGACAAGCTTCACTGGTACTTCTCTGGTAGGTTCAGTTAGAATAGAGAGTGTAACACCACAGGTCAGGTTTTAAAAAAAGAACCCTATGAATTTGGTTACGGTTACCATACTTACCTAGATTTCAAAGGCACTGACAAATGCTTTGCACAAAGGTTCAGAACAACTCACCACAAAACCATGTGTCTCATTCAAAAGAGTGACTTAAAATACATTTAAGACTTATGAAACACAACACCTCCATATCAAGAACTGCTGGCTACTATAGAAAAAGCTTTTACTAACTCTTCAAAACCTTACAAGGGAGTTTGTAATTCCTCAGAAATTGGAAATTTCTTTTAAAATGTTATTTATTTCTGCATTGTAGCAGATCTCATTTTTTCTCTTTTTTGTTTCTACAAAACAGTTTAGAGGAATTGAAGCATTCACAGTGCAGCTTCCACTCCAGTTGTTTTGAAGCCACAAAGCCTCCTCTGGATTTCTCAACCCTCAGTCATAAAGCATCTAAATTACCAAAAGCAAGTGACCATTTTCTACTAAGCATATCAGCTGTGTTATTTTTAGTTACATTTATGCCTCTTTAAAGGAATAGGTAGATTGCCTTAGTTAAACAGGGCATTTAGTCCACAGCCTGTTTTCTAGAAACAGACTTCATACTGTTCTTATAGCTAGAAACTAAACATAAGAATTTCTAGGTTTACTAAGATTCGAGATTAAATTGCCTACAGCAACACTGCTTCTGAAATTTTACTGTTACTGACCTGACAAAACTTATTTGGAAATTGGTATTCTGAGCTTTACCCCTACAGTAGGCAACTCACTAAGAAGTTTTAAAGAATTCCATAGTATTCCCTATAAAGGTAAATTTAAAAGTTATATTTACTATTAACAGAAGGAAAAGAAACTGCAATTTATGATAGAAAATACTTTGTTGTTTCGGTTGCATGTAGTTTACTTCATAATAATGACAGAAAGATCCAAGGCATTTCATACTGCTTAATAAAACTAGACAACACATTTAGCACTGAGGTATCAATACCAAGCTAGAACCTCATTCCTTAGGCACCAGCATATCTAAGACTTCTTTTAAAAAAGCAAACACAAAAAACCAAATCAAGGTAAACAGTATAACAGAAAGAGAGTTTCTATTCACAAGAATTAGAAACCAACAACTAGCACTTTTATAGCAGAGTCTTTGTAAGGCTCACCAACATAGAGGTGGTTCAGTTAGGACTAAAATAACACATGAGAATCACCCAGCAGTATCCTTATTTGCATCTATACTTGTCAGTTCATTACTCAAAGTCCACCAAAATTTCCTATATAGAAATTTTATATTAGAATATTGCCAATTAGATGATTTGGTAATTATATTACCAAGCTTTTATATTTGTCACTAGGTCTTCAGTTTTTTTTTTTAAAGTAAATAACAAGATTTATTTAAAATCAGAATGTAGTTATATGGAGAGTTGAGAATCAAAAAGCTATTAATTTTTTCTATGTTATACTCAAGTACTTTCATTGGCCTGGGTATGAAAACCATTATACAATTTTAAGTGCAATACATCTTTAGATATTTATTACAAGCGTATAGCAAGAGAACAAACCAATTGATTTTTTGCTTATTACGGACGTAAAGTCTTCCACTACCTAAAAATGCCTTTCTGCATTTTTAAAATCCCAATTTGTTTCCCAAATTTAACTAAATTCACATGGTGAATACAATCTAACCCAGAAGAATATTCTCTTTTAATTTAGGTCTTCAGACATTGAATAAAATTAGCACACAGGAATCTATTTTAGTGTCTTGACTTTAACATTTATCAGAAATACTGCTTCCTACCTAAAACTTGTTGTGCTCTACTAAGGATTTTAAATTAACCTTACCTAAAAATAAAGACTTTTAAGTCATTTAAGTTGAACAATTTGAGTTGCAGATGATCTGAAACTCAGGAAAACCCTGAAAGCAACTACAAGCTAGGTGGAAAGAAGCAGCAGCTCTGCTTCCCCACTAATTGGCAAAAGCTGCAGAACAACAGCAGATGCAGCTTCCACACTGAAGAGGAAAGAGTGAAGACGTAAAGGAAAGTTTTTAAAGATTGTTCTCTCCCATATAGTATCATGATTGGTACTACATTAGAATAATGACAGCGTCAGCTAAGCTAAGTATTACATCATTATACTGTTACTGGTTTTCTTTTTTGGTAATGATTTATTTCAGGTCAAATGGTATTTCCACTAAAATCATATGAAGTCATATTAAGTATAGCTCAGATTAATAAAATAGTGAACAATAATATAATGAAATATATTGTGAAACACCGGAAGGAACATAAAAGCCAACACTTAAACAGCAATAACCAACTCAAAAGAAGAAAACAGTCATATAACATTATCACATATTTTGCTATAAAGTATAATTTTTTTCATAAGAAATCAAAATAAGATGACTTCATCTTTTTAAATAAATGCCATTTCCATATTTAACTGTCTTCCAGATATGGAATACATATTAATTGTCCTGAGCATATTCATCTACACATGGGAAGCTGAAGTCCAAATCCCTACCTAGTACTTCAGAAAGGCTGGTATCTGTTTTGAGGGAGCAAAGAAACCCTCCGCATTTTACAGTACTTATTCCACCGCACTTGGCTCCTGAAAGGCAAGAGAACTGAGACTCACGCTCCGTTACCTGCAATCTAAAGTTAAGCAGAATGCCCACCTGCCCACAGTATGGGAAACAATTGGCTGTGATTAGTGTCAAAATCATGCTACAGTTCAGCATACATCTGCTTTTAGGCTGTTCTGATGTATTTCACTTTTTCCCCCCTGCTGATCAATGAAGTTTGAAGGAGACTGAAACTACACACCTCCAAACTCAAAGGGGCTATGGCAATCCTTTCTAATGCGTGCAATTTTTTAAAACATTAGTCTATGGCTTTTACAAGACTGATTCTTAACTGAAATTTAATTCTAGGAGAAAGAACCAAAGTTGCAGTAAGCACTTCCATCCACCTTGTCTATATGAAAGTCTTAAACTAAAAAAAAAAAGGAAAAAAATATGGTGGGGCTTGTAACTAACAAAACAAGGAGTTATACTTCAGATTAGAGTGAGGAAAAAACTTCCATGGAAACTAGTGTTTTCTAATCTGAGCATGTAAAGGCACTCTGGTGCCGACTGTGCATAAAATCTGCACATAAGCTATACCAAAACTTCAAAACATAGTGCCATTATTCAAATTAAATGCTGCTAAACAGCAATTGTTCACTATTAACTACTTGGAGTCAGAGTAAGTTGCAAGTCTGGACAGCAAAAAACTCAGTAGTTTCAGCAATTATGCAGCAATGCCCGAAGTCTTCTGTTTTACAGACTGGTATAGCGTATTAGGAATCTAAATTCAATCCCATGCAGAACTAATACTGAAGCAGCCAGTCAGTTGGAAAGCTTTTTGTTTAAAAAGAAAAAAGCCAAATCAACATTGTATCTATGTGATGTAGTTGTTATATACAACTGAGTGAAGGGGGAAAGGGGGACAGAGAAAGAAACTGATGTTAAAAGTTCATCAGGTTACTTTCATAATTAAGTCTGCCAAAATGGCAAAGGATTAGTCTGTCAAAATACTACACAGTAAAAACAACACGGTCAATTTAGAACCGCTGCTGGTAACAGTCCTTAACTCACAGAACTCGTTATCTTAAGAGGAAAAAACCTATTAAAATGCTGTGATTACTTCAGTAACAACAGACATACAAAATCTATATGCCTTGAGACCACCACATTTAATCTCTAAATCATATGGGACTTCCATTATTCTTTACATCCTGCTACAATTTTGAAAGGAAAGCACTAAGCCCTTATGCCTGGAACCTGAAGTGATCCTTCAGGCAGTATCCTATGAAAAAGCTAATAATGATCCTGAAATCAAGCTTTATATGCATAAAGCATAGCAACAGAATAGAGTCTTATGACTAACCTATGAATAACAGTTTTTGAATAAATGTCAGTCATTAATGCATAGTGGATATCATTACTTATTCTGAGCAACAGAGAGAAGTCTTACAAATTCATCTTATTTCATGAATAATTACAATCACCCCAAATTGTATACTGGTATATGTCATATGATGAGTTACTATCTCTCAGTTTCAGAGAGGTGAGAATTACCGTCCAAGTGACCTACAAATGACAATTTCAGTTTAAGAGACTATAGTCAAAATAACATGTTCTTGCCAGCAAAGCCAGCTTTCAAGTCAGGAAGTACAGGTAACACCACGACCACCACAGGAAGGTGTTAGGTCTATTAAGGCTCATCATCACACCAATCACAAAAGCTCAAAGGATGCTGGCAAATGGATTTCCAGAAATTCCTCAAAAAAAAAAAAAAAGAGCTAATCTTACAGCTTCAAGCATTAATCTCTCACTAAGAATCCACATAGCTCTGGCAAGTAGAGAAGCAATCAGTACATAAAGTGATATTACACATAGCAGCTACTGCTTGAGGTTTTGTAAGAAGACAGGTGATACTTAAAGCCCATCTAAAAGCTCTAACTATTCTCAAGGAATTTTGATTACTCAATGTCTAAATACTCCTAATTAGAAAGCAGTTAATCTGCAAGCTTCCTTCCTTCCTCCAAGCTTACTTCCTTCTTGGAAACCCCAAACACCTTCAAGAAAATCACCTGAAAATCTTACGTAACATTATACACACAGAATATTCTGAAATTAATTTTCATATTTAAAATACCTACACACAAACAATCCCTCTATCCCTTTCACCAAACGGTAAGTCATTTATTGACATTACTCATTCCTTTGCCTCTTGAAGGAGGCTTCTCCCTTTGGGGTTTTAGTATAGCACTCAGAATAAAAAACCCAAACAAAGGGGCACAGGTTAAAATGATTCAAATACTTCATTACAGGCACCAAATATTTGCTTTCAAGATTTAAGTTCTTCTTTCTGGTACCTATTTAAATTTGCAGATCATTTTCTCTGAAATATTTCAGATTTATTATTTTTGCAACTGGCAAGTAGCCTTAGTCTAAAAAACAAATGAATTTATACAAAGTAATGTCTTAGCATTCCATGTGCTCAACTTGAAGTCAAACATTTAAGACTGACAACCACCAATGCTGGTTCTCTAGATGGTTCTTGCTAATATAAGAATCATTCTAAAAGAATTGGCCAAGAGGTTTATTTATTTTCACACAACTGCACTAGTGTTAATCCTCCAGAGAAGCAAATATGGGAGACAGCTTATCTCCATTTTGTGTACAGACTTACAGATGTGTCTGCATCTTCCCCCGTCATCCCAAAGAGTATATATATAGGTTTTCCTTGAAGAGAACACATTTCTAGACATGGAAACAAGAGACTAATATTTATTTTTACCACTTTACTTCTAGGAAGCGTGACAGATTTTCATCATCCTTTCCTACTTTCCTATTGTGATACACCAACATACAGATTAAAAGTTTATTAAATTCCTAAGTTACACGCTTTCAACAGATTATCTTTTACATATCGTTATTCCTCTTAAAGTAACAAACAGTATTAAAGAAGCGAAGTATACATTTAATGTCCTACAAGGGAAGCGAGAGTGAAAGAAAAAAGCCCAGAACTCCCAAAAGTATGCCGGTTGTAGGCCTCCTCCCCCTCCCCGCTTTTCAGTATCAGGGTAGATCATGGATGACAGAACTATAACCCCCACGTAATTCTACTACCAGGTTTCTCCTTCAGAAATGCCTCAGAAGTAATAAGCAGCTACCAGCTGGCATTCACCTAGTCAGCTTAAAACAAGGATGAAAGCCGAGACTGGGATTTATTCTCCTCTGCACTGCCAGCACACTTGGCAGACCGCTTTCCTTTGTGCCTCAGCCTCATCATCTGCAAGATGACAATAATGACACCATTCTTCTTTAGGAAGAGCATCAGAGACCCACTGCAAGGATGGCTGGAGCTCAGGAGCACATCACAAGTTCGCAGACAACTCAGGCAGGCCACTGTGCCCACTCCTCCCCAGTTCCTCAGGGAATCAATCCCTCTGGTAGTTGGATCAGATGTAAACCAAAGTGTGCCCTTCTGCCAAGGCCACCAGTTTTCTACCTTCTGGTCTACAGGCAGCCGGATTAAACCACTTGTGGTGAACGCCACAAAGAGCAACGCTTCCCAACGAGAAAACGCCTGCCGATAATACGCCCAAGTTTATCAGAGAGCTGAAAAAGCCCTAAAGACATAGGTCCAGGGAGGATCGCGGCAACTTTATTAATTGAGACTGTCGGCGTTAACAACCACCGCACTAGAGAAAAACCGGGGTCATCTTCGCTCCCACCCGGCGGGTCAGCGGGAGAGGGGAAGGGTCGCGGGCGGGGCACCCCCAGCAGCTGGTACTACCGGCAAGAAGAGACCCCTCGACAGCCTCTCGGGCCCCCGCACCGAGGAGGCCGAGCGGCCAGCCAGCGGGCGAGGCCATATTGCGTTTCAAGCGCCACCGCCGCGCCGGCTCCCTCAGCGCCAGCCGAGAGGGGGCGAGACGCGCCCCCTCACAGCCCCAGGAGGGCGGCAGCCGGACCGCGGATGACGGGGAAGGCAAGGGATCGGCTCGGGAAGCGAGCGGCACAGAGCTGCCGTCCTCCCCCCACACACCTCCCAGTCAGCCCTGGCGGAGCGCCCATCCGCCAGCCCCGGCCTCCCCGCCCGCGGCGCACGCCCCGCCCCGCCGAGCCCGGAGGAGAAGAAGAACGGGCCCGACGCGGCCCCCGCCGGCGAACGCCCCTGAGGGAGAGGGGTTTAAAGAGGCGGCCGAGGAAGCCGACAGGGGACCGAGGAGAAAGGGGGAACCGCCCACGGCTGCGAGCCCTCCCCGGCCCTTACCTGGCCCCGGCGCCGCCTCACGGCGCCCCGCGCCCGCCGCCAGCCCCTAAATAACGGCTCCGCCGCCCCGCGCCATCGCGCCGCCGTCCCGCACGCGCGGCCCCACGCCCGGTCACGC